TTTCTTCCTGTTTGTCTAGAAGTCTTCTAATCAGGGCTCTATAAATAGAGAACTACATAACATTACATTACATTGCATTTAGCTGACGCTTTTATCCAAAGCGACTTACAATAAGTGCGTTCGACCAACAAGATACAAACTTGAAGAAAACAGAATCATATAAGTAGCCTACATCCGGTTTCATAGAGCTAAAACATTTCAAGTGCTACTCAACTGGCTTTAGATAAGCCAGTCCTTTATTAGTATATAAGTGCTTTGTTAATAATTCTATCGCTCGAAGTGGAGTCGAAAGAGATGAGTTTTCAGTCTGCGCGGGAAGATGTGTAAGCTTTCTGCTGTCCTGATGNCAATGGGGAGCTCATTCCACCATTTTGGTCTACTACGGCAGATGTGTAATATTTAATGCAGCCGAACCGTGTACACAATGCCGTTATGTGATTACTTCCAAAGAGAAAAGCAAGAACACTCGGAATAAAGTATTATTTTATTTCTTTTAAATGTTTTCCGATTTCATATCGCATAAACACCATATCCCAACGTGCATTGCGGCTAAAACATCCAGGATTATGGATGTAGTTCGATGTTTTAGCCTATCAAAACCTCTAAAAAAAGAAAGGTGTCTCTCAGAATCGAAAGAGAAAAACCTATGGGAAAAACAAGAAAGCATTGTACACAATTTAAACCAATAAATGTCGTATAATTAACAAGGATAAAATGATGTTTTTTAGTGGATGAGTACTGCAGATATCACTGTTAAATCATTTGATCATTGGTTTTATTATGAAAACTTCGAGACCGGAAATACTGTTTTCACCCCGTAACTTTACATGGAAGCTACCGCATATACACGTTCTCCTGACGAATTCTCAAATCATCTTCGTAATATCTATCAAACTATAGATCCTACATATCGACTAGACGTGGATTCTAAAAGTACAATATACACTTCTCGCTAGAAATCTAATCAACAAGCGTTTTAATGGCCAAACTATCCTACAATTTAGGATTTTACAGAGAGGGTTATTTGTGAATAAACGACCCTCTGTAATGTTTGCATTCATCAGGAGCACTAGAGGCCGAAAACTTTAAAACGTAATTAAAGGCCGTATTAAGCGCTTGAACAATCTACCTATTTTGTCGTATGAGTTGGAGTACTTGTTGGTAGATTTATCTTCATTTCATTTAATTTCAAACCTTTATTTATCCAGATTGTCCCTTGAGATCATAGATCTCTTTTTCAAGGGAGACCTGCAGCAATTAGGTTCCACATGAACTAAAAGATGCCGTGCAGACTGACCTTGTGAGGTGTGATTGAGTAGAGATATTATAATGCAGAACGAGATTTTGTTTGTGATTCATCCTGATTTGCATGCATTTGTGATTAAAATTGAAAGCCGGTGCTTTTAGTCTAAAGCAACAGAGAAGCTAAGATGTGTCTGGGTAAATTAGAAGCTTGTCGGTGTCTATTTTATGAATATAGTTTAAAAGATTGCTTTTGACCAGTTTTATGTTTCTCTGCAATTGATGTATCAGAAGCGCTTTGAAGAACAATCTGCTTTTGTGTTTCTTGCCTTCTCGACACCCTCTGGGCACAAATGACTTTTCTTTCAACTGATCTTCAGACGATTTTAGGTTGTCAGCAACATGAAACGGTCAAGTGCACTATTGCCTCAGTTATCATGTTGTCAGAGGTCCCTCATGAATACCAGTCAGACAATACCATTTTACTGTCATTTGCCCACTTCAATAGTGCTGCTTCAACTTCATCAAGAACACACAATTTTTCGTTCATTAAATGAGAAAAATGTGACATTAAGGAGAAAGTTCACAGTAGAATTTCACGTCAAGCCAGCAGGCAATATGTTGGTGCAGCAGCTATGAAAGTACTCCACTGAGAGGGAGCAATTTTGTGATTTGGTCTTAGGGAGAAGAAAATTGCTATTTTTAACAACAGCTGAACCAGCATTAGATGAGAAAGATTGGCTCTCTTGTTATTACACATTGATGAGAAGGCACATTTTTACCCAAACTATACCAAAAGTATAGCTTATGTGTCTTAGAAAAATGTTAATTCGTTTTCAAGTAGCTAAATTACTTTGTCTGCTTAGTTTTCTAGGCATTGATTTTTTAAAAGGGCATCATCTTCAACCCAATGTTTGGGTTATGAATGAACTGTTGAACAGTGGCTGGAAGATGAGTTCATGCTATAGTGGCAACGTGAGCCTAGAAGTATGACGTCATGTGATATTTATCTAGAATGTATAGAGATTAAGATTATGTATCTTTAAAGTATCTGTAAAGAACGAACAATAATTCCTTAGGATATTCTACAATCATTGTAATGGCTCAGGGAATAGGTATCTTATTTTTGTTTGAATGCATTGTATAGTCATGTACAGTATGACTTAGAGAAAGGTATTGTTTTATCCACCCATCTATGTTTTAATAAATGTTGTTACATTTTTAAGACTGTCATTCCTTAGTTTAAAGCATAGACTGGTTTAAAGGTCCAGTGTGTTCAGGGGAATTTATTGCAGAAATTAAATGGGATTAAAAATGAAAAATCCTATATTCGTTATACAGCGGGGAAATTCACAATACAATATTATTTTTTATTAGTGTATAATTTAGTTTAGTTTATTTGTTTATAGTGTCGTGGACAGTCCCCATTAATCAACTGTCACAAAAAACAGTAAATGGGGCAACTTTAGCCAACATTTCTAATTTCAAGCTGTTGTCACCGGCCAGATGACACCTTTAAAATCACAATACATCAACAACATTAGTTATAATAAAAGGATGAAAGACAAATAGATAGAGGCGAAAAAATAAAAGAGAATAATAAAATGCAAACAACACGTTATACATAAATGTCACATATAGCACATCACAATCACATAAAATCACCTTAAATTAAGAATATTTGTGTATCTGTTGGATTCATGTATACAAAGCAGGTGATCTCACTGAGTTGTTTCTACAATAGATTTGATTGGACGAAACCAAACTTTAAAGATGATGTTTCACTAGCTTTTCTGCAAACCTTGAAAGGAGGGGAAAGTGGAGGGTCCTCAGTCGGCTACAATATCAGACCTCAACGCTATAGTTGCTGCCATGAATGAGATAAATTGAAATTACAACACAATGCTGACCAAAGTAATCTGCTTAATTGTGTATACATTTATTCTTGGGAAAAAACCTGTTCATTTTCTATCATTTTAATTTGAATATCAGTGCTTTGAGCATACGACCTGTCAACGTCTAGGACTGGAACTTCAACGCCTTGTGGAGATTAAAAGCTGAAAGTGAAGAAATGCGGGAAAATCGATCAAAAATAAATCTATTTACGTCATCAACTAATGCCCACATCCTTTCATTGTGAGCGAACTCATTTCCCTGGAGACTCATCAGAATGACAGATGGAGGGTGCCAAGGTAGACAGCAAACTCATAACTCAACACGGTGCAATAGAGAGGACAGAGTGGTACAGAACTTAGCAAGACATCTTACATCTATTTAAGGAATTCAAAAGCATGAACTCTGCGAGGCAGGAAAGGAATATTTATTGGTTTATACCAACAATTTCTCCTACTAGCCTGTAATGACTTTTAAAAAATTCTGGCTGTAATCTAAAAGTTAATTTACCTTTTTAGGCTCCAGTGAGAGCTTCACAGGTGCAGAGCTTGAACACATTACTGTCTTATGGAGCATGGAGTCCCTCAGTTATAATATAATTACAGTTAAAGGCACATCCTATGGAGTATTGCTTTTCGCTACTGAGAATATCCCAAAAATAGATTTTTATAAGGATAACAAATATATTTAGCATTACCATATAGTTCAATGGGGCAATCACAACGATTATATTATATTTTAATACATTTAAATAAACAGAATAAAAAGTAGAATTGGATTTAAAAACTAGTTTAACAGCCTTATAAAATCTTAAAATCCAAAGCTATCTTAAATACCAACAAGCAGACAGAAAAAACATTTTTCTCTGTTCCTATTAACTATGTAAACATTTAAAAAAACGTCCCCATCTGTGGCAGTTCATTTGAACAAACATCATCTGCCCATCCTCACGACACAGAGAATAAATCCCTCTCCAAACATTGTTTTTCCCCCTCAAAAACATGTACCAATCACAGCCATACTATTGACCAGAAGCAGATT